TACTATGTTTTAAAAGATAATTAACTCCAAAGTTTTAAAGAAGATAAGCTACCACAAGTTAGAATGTTAAAAAATAATCGCATTAAAACGTTACACAAATATTTGTATTTGTAGTTTATTTTCCTTTTTTATATATTTGCTTGTTATTTGATACTTGTTTTGATAAAATACCTCTAAATGGTTTCAAAAATATAACTTGGTAATTACAATTTGGTATATGCAAAATATTCGCATATGCAAAATATCTATCATAATATGCCGCAGCGGTTGGCTGGGAGTGCAAGATATTGTTTTACACCACCAGAAGAGCGATGTATCCTCATATTTGATTCACATAATAATACACCTAATTTTTATGTAAACTAAAGAGGGTGGTTTCGGACAACTTAATCAGTTTACATAAAAAAAAAATTAGCAACTTCTTATATATATATATTTATATATATATATATATATATATATATATATATATATATATATATATATATATATATATATATATATATATATATATATATATATATATATATTAATAAATTAAATATGACACACGTATAATAGTAATTCATTTAATTCCAATAAAAAGACCTTAGATTTGAAAATTTGTCTATTTTCATTAATAAAAAGCTGATGTTTATATTTCTAAATGATGATGTTTTCATTCCCATTCCTTATATATCCGAAGTAATTTTAGAAGGCGATTTTTTCTTTAATGTTTTGAAAACAATCCAATGCTAAATAATTATATATTTGTGTCACTTCGGCAAAAAAAGAGGCAAAATTATGGTTAAAGTTTGTGTTCGGGGCTACCCTCTAATTTTGAAACATACCTTTTTTTAACATTTAACTTACAATTTTTCTTTTATGTTTTGAATATTATTAGGGTAATCAATAATTTTATTTTTTTTGGTTCTAATTCGATATATAAATGTTTATACTTTTAAAAAAAACTTTTAACACTTTGTTTACTGTTAGTACATGCGTACAATCTATTTTTTCCTTAAGTGTCCGGGGCTACCCGACTTTCCCCTATTGCTATTTCTGCTGCTAATAAAATTTAGTGTTTAAGTAGTTACTTATCAATAAATGTAACTTAATATATATTGTAATATGTAATGTAATATATATATATATATATATATATATATATATATATATATATATATATATATATATATATATATATCCAAGTGAATAGTCCTAAGTTGCTGACTTATGTTTGAATAAAGTTTTCGTTGGGAGTTGATATACCTCTACGTTCCCTTGTAGACACACAAAGCTATATATATATTTGTGTGTGTTTGTGTGTGCAATACCTCTAAACTAATTATGATTTATTAAAATAAAATTTTATTGTAATACTATAATAATATTCCTTTGTAATTATTATTTAAAAATTATTTAAAAAAACAGATTCTAAAAAATATTAAGCAAATTAAACCTTAAAGTACAACTAAAACAAAGTTTAAAATTACTCACACGTTATGTATTAGAATTAATACAATTATCAAAACGATTAGCTTTTATTAAACAGTTGTTTAAAATATTTACTGAAAAAAAATGTTTGAAGAAGCCATTTTTTAAATAAATGTAACAAATATAATAATAAATTTCTGTTTATTTTGTAACACTTAACCACTATCAAAATATTGTCAAAATAGTTGATTGAATGTTTTTACTGTAAAGACTTCAAACTAGATTTCTTAAAATAACTAAACCGGAAGAAGAATTACTAGTGTTAGTGGACGTATGAATTTTTTTATTTCAAAAAAATGGAATGATTTAACAAAAGCAACAATGCCGAGGACCCAAATTCGGGAAAAAATTTTACTTCCCACGCATGCGGATCGACTCAAAATTGATCGACTCAGGGGCAATTGCCCCCCAATAATTTTTCAAATAAATAATTTTGAAAAATTGACTGAAAAAATGACTAAAAAAAAATAGGTCCTTCAAACTATTTTGGGGTAGTACTGCCCCCCCCCCCAATATAATTTTTGTTTCTACGGCCCTGCGGCCTGCTAGCTAAAAGCACAAGGCAACAGATCGTTAAAAAAAACAAATAAAAAACTTGTGGTAAAATTGAGGACAACATTTATATTTTTGCCTACTGTCCTCCTTCTGTTGAAATATGGGATTATTTTAAAAATGTATATAACTTCTTGACATCCCCAAAAAAAATTTTCTCCAATAAATTCGATTTTCTCAAAACATTTTCTGGAAACAGCAAATTTATCGGAGAAAAATCCTATTTCGCAGCTGCTGTTGACACTCACTCAAACCATCATGAGTGCAATACGAAATAGCAGATGACACCATAGGTTAAGCAACACAAAATTTGACCCAATGGCAGTGATCAGGGTAAGAACCAAGAACATCAAAAATATTATTACTTTAAAATATAGTTACCATGTCCGTAGAAACACTGCAGACATTTTCTGTCAATATTTTCT